TCTACTTTCTCTTCCATACCTTAAGCTATCCCTACAAGCATTTCTTACTAGCCTTGTGGTACTCTTTGGTAATACTACTAAACTTAAAGTTCAACAAAGGACAGAAAACTGATGGAAGTGTTGTCATGCACAGCTAACTTCCTGGTCCATGGTATACTTTGTTTTCTGGTTAAGCCTATAACACAAGCCTTCTTCTAAAGCTGAAGTGTTCCTACGACAAGAACTTGGAGAAAAGATGTTAGAAAGATGAATTGTGCTCTTGCTAATATCTTGCTGATAATCATTCCCTAATCCTGTTAACTACTCTTGGCTTTAAAAAGGAAGTGTGAATATGAAATTGCATTAAAACATTCTGTAAAATCATAAACTAAAACTATCCTAAATATTAAGTTGAAAAAGAATTACTCAATTAACAATTTCCCTAAACTTTTGGATTAGTTTCGTCATCAGATCTTTTTGTTATGAAGGCTGGTGTACCAAAACACAAATTGCCCAGCTAAAAGAGATGATTTGCCTGGGCATTAGGGATGTTATCTGATTGGCACTGTGACTAGGCCTTGATCTTTGGATTATGGAGTTTAAATAGGGATTGTGGAAATCACTTTACTTTCAAAAATAAAATTAGAGAACTTTATCAATTCACAACACATACATTTATTATCTACCTTATGTCACATTCTATGCAATGTGCTTAAGATACAAAATCAAAACATATCTGCTCTCAAGGAACTTATGATCTAATGAAGAAAACAAATAAATCAAAGACCATATATGGGGAAGCCTGGGTGGCTCAGCAGTTTAGCGCCACCTTCAGCCCAGGGCCTGATCCTGGATACCCAGGATCAAGTCCCATGTCAGGCTTCCTGCATGGATCCTGCTTCTCCCTCTGCCTGTGTCTCTGCCTCTCTCTCTCTCTCTCTCTCTCTCTGTCTCTCATGAATAAACAAATAAAATCTTAAAAAAAAAGACCATATATGTAAGAATTCTGTAAATGTCTAATTCTTTGTAATTGGTCAGGTCTGTTTGTTTTTCCAAAGCAGCTGCCAGTAAAATACAATTATAAGCATCTCTATGTTTAGTTTTGAGCCTTTCACTAGTGCTTACTTAACACGAACATTTTAGGGTAGACTAGTACCTTGGCATTCTTTCAGTTTCATGAATATGGTGAGCTCATTTATGTTTTAGGACTTTGTTATTAGATGTTTCCTGAGCAAAGCATGCAAAGAAGCATTGAGTCTGACCTATCCCAGCCTAGGGATCCCATCTCATTCTGATATGGCAGGAAAAGTAGGGGGAGAGACACTTAGCAAATGATGAACAGGCTTCCAAACTAAAACAAAACAAAATAAAAAGCCTCTTCCATCTAAGAAGTACAGGCACAAGAAAGGGATGACTCTTTTTCCAGGCACTGAGGTAGAGTAGAAATTTGCTTTGGGTTGAGATATCTGCCTTTTCCTTTAGAATGTGACCTTCTCAAGGGGAAGGACAACGCATGTTTGTGTCTCAAGAAACGAGGATGTAAAAAACACTGGCTTCCAAATCCATTCATCACCTGAGGACTTAAAAAAATATTCCTGATTCAAATGAAATGTGGAAAAAAGTGATGAATGACATTTATGATGCTATTGGAAATTTGAAGACTGACTGGATATTTAATAATGTTAAGTAATTATTACTATTTCAGGAATAACAGTGATATTCTGGTTAAGTTTTTTTCTCTTTTAGAAATCTATACTCTTTTAGAAATCTATATTATGGATTAAATGATGTCTGGGATTTGCTTCAATATAATAGAGAAGAGGAAAAAATGTAGGAGGAAAAAATAAGATTAGTCATGAGTCAATAGGTAGATAACAGGTACTATTCTATTTTCTTTGAAATCTGTTTGAAATTTTCTGTAAGAAAATTTTTTTTAAAAAGAGTGATTCCTGAGTTCCCAAGAGTTTCTGACTTGTAAGTCTAGAGTCTATGAACCTGAACACTGGTATAACCATCACTACCAGGAGATTCACCAACAGCACTCCTCCTGCCTATCTATGCTATAGAGTATATTAGTGGTGGGGCTAGAGATTGTTGATGATCAAAGCTCTTATGCTTTGCATATTGTCCTTAGGAAGAAAGCATCTGGTTAGAGTAATTTACCCAAGGTGTCTATTTAACAATTAATCCAAAGGAGGGATTTTTGCAGTTTAAAGAAAATTCTAATAAATCTCAAAGAACAAAATCTCTTTCAAAGAAGAACTCTATATTTCAAGTAAAAGAATCACACGCCAAACTGGTACAGCCACTCTGGAAAACAGTATGGAGATTCCTTAAAAAGTTAAAAATAGAGCTACCCTACGACCTAACAATGGCACTACCATGTATTTAACCAAAGGATACAAAAATAGTGTTTTGATGGAGCACAGGCACCCCAATGTTTACAACAGCAATGTCCACAATAGCCAAACTCTGGAAAGGGGCCAGATGTCCATCAATAGATGAATGGATAAAGAAGATATACACACACACACACACACACACACACATACACACACATGATGGAATATTACTCAGCCATTAAAAATGAAATATTACCACCTACAACAATGTAGATGGAATTAGAGAGTATTATGCTAAGCAAAATAAGTCAGTCAGAGAAAGACAATCATCATATGATCTCACTCATATGTGGAATTTAAGAAATAAAACAGAGGAGCATAGGGGAAGGAACGATGAAATAAAACAAGACAAAAACAAAGAGGGAGACAAACCCTAAGAGACTCTTTCTTACTCATAGGAAACAAACTGAGGGTCACTGGAGGAGAGGGGACAGGGTAACTGGATGATGGGCATTAAGGAGAGCACGTGATGTAATAAGCACTGGGTGTTACATACAACTGATGAATCACTGAACTCTACCTCTGAAACTAATAATACACTATATGTTAATTAACTGAATTTAAATAAAAAATTAAACTTAAAAAATAAAATTCAAATTAAAAAAAGAAATTGCACTCTAAACTGTACCACTGTGGCTCTATCTCATGCACTCTGTCTCTAAATCAGTACAATTTGCCACACAGACCGCTTGCTTCCTCAAATTTGTCAATCTTGTTTGTGCCTAAAGACCTGTGGTTTAACCATATATTTTGCTGAAGGATGTTCTTCCTCTGGATCATTCCATGGCTGGCTCCTCTACTTCATTCATATCTCAACTCCTAAAGTTGCTTTTTCAGAAGGGCCCTCCCTGACACTCCCTCTTCAGTACCCCACACCTTGCAGTAACACCCTGTGAACTTAAGCTTTTATTTCAGAGCACTTTTCATTAACTGAAACTTTGTTTACTAATTTATTGACCATCTCCTTTATCAAGACTGTAAGATCTCTCACTATAGGGCTCTTGTCCAAGACTTGTTTATAGATGCCCTCTGACCTCCTACAATAGTGTCTGGCCAAAATAGGGACTCGATACAGAACTCTGAAGACCTGAAATATGTACACATGTAAGGATACCTTCTTGTGTCCCCACATTATATTAGGGGTTGCAAATGCAAATACGACAGGGCTCAGACAAGTACTAAAAGCAGAAGGACTTAGGGAAAAACTAGAGAGCACAGGAAACAGTGCTCGTCTGCTTGACTTATTGCTGCCAGGCTACAGTGTAGATCTAGTGTGGTCAGATCTTCCCATTATTATTAGAATGCCAAATGAATGGGATGACATCCATTTTTTTTATTAGTTCCATTTTAACTGTTAGCAACCAATTTGAAAAATTAGAATAGCATGTGAATCAACAGTTTGCAAGCTCTGCTCATACAGATAAAATAACTCAGAGATTAGTTAAGAGACATTGAGAAAAGATATCGAGAATACTGTACCCTACAACACTGTTTGTAATGGTGAAAAATGGGAAACAACCTAAATATATCCATCACTGTAGGAATTTCCAAATAATGTGTGACAAACTTCTTTGACACAATACTATACAGCTAACCAGATGAAGTCTAGACAGATGTATCAATGTGGATAGCTATCAAAAACAGAGTTAGATGAAAAAGCCAAGTTGTCGATCAATACAGAAAATATAATAACATTCATGTGAATCTTCAAAAGCCCAGTCATACTATATGTTGCTTATAAATATATAGTAATAGTGAAAGCATTCAAACCTAGATTAGCAAGCTGCTTATCAACTTCAAGACCATGCCTCTCACAAGTGAAGTAGAGTGGTACTGGGAATAGGGGCACCCACTTAATCTGTAATGTTCTATTTCTTTCATTAAAAAATATAAAACGAAAACATTTAACATCATACCATTTTGGATGGTGGATACATGGATGTTCACTTAGTCTTTCTTTTTAAAACATTTCTGAATCTTTAAAAATGGAAGGAGTAGTGGTGGCAAAACATCCCAAACTAGAATACTTGACTTCTACTTTGCTCTGCCTTTCTAGAATTGATATATTGATGTCAATCTCTAGGTACGGTTTCCTCATTAACAAATTCAGTAGAAATATGTGGTACTATTCGGAGTCTATAAGATCTAAAAACCTAAAACTATCCAGAGTCTCTAAAGATGTACAAACCTAAAACCTCCCCCACCCTAACACCACACGGGAAACGATATCCACCAGACTAGGGAATGAAATATGGATCTGTCCCCTCATTTAGGATAGTTCGTCTCTCACAATTCACAATTCCTTCTCAGGAAGAAATATGTAGAGCGGAAGAACTGTCTTGGTGACAGAGAGACGTGGATTTATTAGTCTTTCTGAGTGTCAGAGTCCTCATCTCTAAAACGGGGATTAAAACCCCTACCTCGTAGAATTGTAGTGAAGGTGAGAGATTAACATATGTCTACGGCCTGAACACAGTAGCTTTTAATTGTAATAAAATCGCATTTACGGGCTCGGCCCGGGGTCGTTAAGCAGAAACACGACTTTTCCTGCCGCCTTCCATGCTAAAAAAAAGTTGGTTTACCTGGAGACATCCGGGAGAGGGAGTGGACTCAGTTGCTATGGCGACACTTTGGTTCCGCCTCCGGACTTGCTCGAATAGCATGCTGGGAATTGTAGTGCGTGGGAACTGACACTCACCCAGGGGGCGGGGCAGCTTCCGGAAAGGGCTCGGAGTTTCCCGTCCTGCCTCCATCGCCACTCCTTCACCCCCCGGGCTTCTGGGCCACAGAACCCAAAATAAAAGCCCAACTATGAGTCTCCCTTTCCGCGTCCGCCTAAAGTACAGTTGAGGACAAGACAGTGGAAGCAATGCGGTGCCAAGGGCGGAGACGGAGGCCGTACTGGTGGGGCAGGAAGAGGCCAGGCTCCCGCCAGGGGCACGGAGGCTCCGCCCCCTCGCGTCACTTCCGTAAACAAAAGGAGTTGTGGCGGCGCTGGGTCCGGGATGTGACCCCGGCTCTAGCTGCAGCAGTAGCGTCGGCGGCTGCAGCTGCGGCACTGGCTTCGGAGACTCCGGGGTCTTTGCAGGTTGAGGAAGAGAACCCCCATCCTCTCCTTCCTCAGGTATGAGGTGGAAGCAAAGTCGTTCCCGCAGCGTGTCCCCTTTAGGCCCCTGCCGCCACTCTGGTCACTGCTCACTTCGGGAAAGTCAAGGGTCACCGTGTGGGCAGATTGAGGAAGGGGAATGAGGTGAAGTCAAGAGGGACTCCTAGTGGTCCTGCTTGGAGGCTGTGCGTCCCTGGCACTCAGAACCAGTGTGAGTAACTGAGCAGTCTGGGAAGGCCTTCTCTAAAAGGTTCCTTGCTGTGTGTATACGGGAGATTTCGGTTCTCTGTGGCAGAGATTTGCCTTCCAAAAATGGGTAAATTTCTAGTCCTGGCCCTTCAGTACATCGTAGTTTAAACCACTATTGGGGGCAGCCCAGGTGGCTCAGCGGTTTAACGCCGCCTTCAGCCCAGGGCCTGAGCCTGGAGACCCGTGGGTCGAGTCCCACGTCGGGCTCCCTGCGTGGAGCCTGCTTCTGCGTCTGCCTGTGTCTCTGCCTCTCTCTCTCTGGGTCTCTCATGAATAAATAAATAAGATCTTTTTAAAAATTTAAAATAAACCACTATTGGTTTATTTGCATAGCTTTACTTCCTCAGGTTTTGGGTTTTTTTTTTTTCTTTTTCTTGTTTCACCAAATGTGTATTAGCATCATTAAACTCGAGGTTGAGTGTGTTTATGTGTATCACAAGTTTATACAGATCATTGTCTCTATTCAGTTGCTTATTAAAATTCCTTTTACATTGTGTTGTATGCTGAAACAACGCCAGAATGTCTGTTCTGTTACTAAAAATGTATCTTAAAGGAAAATTGTTAGCCACGATTTGGATGAATTTGCCCTTGGTAACTGGGATTAAAGACTGGTCATTAGAGCCTTTCCTTTAAACCCTTTGCTTCTTTTTGAGGTATCATAGTGCCTGTTATGATTGTTTAGAGCCACCTTGAGCCCACTAAGCTGAAATGGTTTAAAGTCCACTGCTGGTTAAAATCCAGTGGAAAAATCTATTCTCACTAAAGTTCTCAAAGAATTATGTTAGGAGTCTAATCAGTGAATTTGAATCTTTTGGAACAGTCATAGCATGGTTACATTCATCACAGTGTACACAAAAAGGGCTAATACTGCTAAGGCACTTTGTAGTCTGATGAGGTAAATAGCCATGTAAACTTCTCATGATATATGAAACAATATCATTAAGAATTTAAGGGCAGCCCGGGTGGCTCAGCGGTTTGGCGCCTCCCTTCGGCCCAAGGCGTGATCCTGGCGGCCCGGGGTCAAGTCCCACAAGAAAAAAAAAAAAAAGAAAAAAAAAGAATTTAATAGTATGTGAGAAGCCTGGGTGGCTATGTGGTTGAGCATCTACCTTTGGCTCAGGGTATGATCCTGGGGTCCTGGGATCCAGTCCCACATCAGGCTCCCTGGGGGGGAGCCTGCTTCTCCCTCTGCCTATGTCTCTGCCTCTTTCTCTGTGTCTCTCATGAATAAATAAATCTAAAAAAAATTTAATAGAATGCCTAGTTAAAAAATGTAGGATATTTTTAGATGGATGACTGTTAGGAAAATAAAACTGATTAATACATGAAATAAGGGGAAAATATTGGGTCTGTGTTCTCTATGGAAGGGCGACCTGGAGCTTCATAGTGTAACTTTTGATACTAGCAAACTTAAACGTATATAATACAGTTTCCTGTATCCTTGGAAATAAGTAGAGAAAGTTATATTCAAAATAGTCATGGAACAAGTTTAATTTTACAGAACTTCAGTTGATCAAGGAACTAGAACCAGTATTATCCCTAGGGTGAAACTGAGTTTTTGCTTGGTAGTTGAAATATGGTTTCTAGTTGTTAATTAAAATGCAGATACCTCATATGGCTTAGGCCAAGATCAACACGAAAGCCAATGAGGGGCATTTCTGCTGCTCCTCCTCCATGGCGGACCACTCCAGCCACCTGCTGGAGAGCCTGGACCAGCTGGAGCTCAGGGTGGAGGCTTTGAGAGAAGCCGAAACTGCTGTTGAGCAAGAGAAAGAAATCCTTCTGGAAATGATCCACAGCATCCAGAATAGCCAGGATATGAGGCAGATCAGCGACGGAGAAAGAGAAGAATTAAATCTGATGGCAAACTGTTTGATGGGATGAACCCTCACTGTTGAAGTTTCAGTAGAAACAATCAGAAACCCCCAGCAGCAAGAATCCCTAAAGCATGCCACCAGGATTATTGATGAGGTGATCAGTAAGTTTCTGGATGGTTTGGGAAATGCCAAGAGTCACTTAATATCCCTGTACAGTGCATGGTCATCTGAGGTGCCACCGGGGCCTGTTGACCAGAAGTTTCAGTCCATAGGAATTGGCTGTGCTCTTGAAGACCAGAAGGAAATTAAGAGAAGATTAGAGACCCTGCTTAGAAATATTGAAAACTCTGACAAGGCCATCAAGCTGTTAGAGCATTCTAAAGGAGCTGGTTCTAAAACTCTGCAACAAAATACTGAAAGGCAAATTTAATTAGTTTTGAAACATAAGAGCATTTAAAAATAATGGCATAAAAATGATTAAACACTAGTTCTTTGTATTAGGCATAACCTTTGATATTGATTGTTGTTTGAGATGAGGAAGATACTCCAGTGTCATCGTTTTGTGAATGATACAATTAAAACTAGAAATATTTTAATTATCTTTCTAGAAGTTTTTAGATTGAATTCTTGTCTTGTATTAGGCTCTAGCACCTAATATATATATATATATATATATATATATATATATATATTTACTATTCTGTGGATGAATGCTTAGTATATAGGAGAGAGTAACTGCTCAGCCTGGGCACAAAGCATTATTGTTCTGTCCTGGGCTTTATCTGGCATGGAGATACTTGGGCACATGGGGCATTAGGTTGACTAGAAATTCTTGAAATTAGGCAGCACACAAACTTACCACCACACATCTCCTGTTAACTACGTGGTGTGCTTAAAAGGACAAAAGAAATCACAAAGTAAGAAACTTTCCCTACATAATCTTTTTCAGAAAGCACTTTTTTTGGACATTTATATATTTAAGATTTACGCATCTGATGATATGAATTTAAGTCTTGAAATATATAAAGGCTTGGCATAAAGTGTGAGAGAATTCAACTCTAATGTTATCACTGTGAACAACTATATGTCCACCTCATCTTTTTCCAAGTGTATAATTTCTCTAAATTTTTAATCATTACAAAAATACAGTGTTGTACCTTGCCTTTAAAAAAATGCTGCTATAAAGTCTAATTGTCAACTTTAAAACCTCTATTCTGTATGGTTGTATAATTTACTTACCTATTCCCCTTACTAGACTTTTAGGTTGTTCTAATTTGTTGCTTATTCCTGCAACATATTTATATACAGAGACTTTTTTCCTTCTTTGTTTTTTATTTTCTTTATATAAATTCCCAGTAGTGGGACTTACTGGGTCAAAGGTATATATACATTTTAAAGCGTTACATCCATTTATACTGTCTTCAGTAATTAAAGTGTAACTGTTTGATTAGAAAAAAAATGCAGATACCTCTTCAGTTGTATCTGTATCTGTTTGAATCTAGTTGGTTCTTCTAAGAATAAATTTTAGCAGGGAGATCTAAAGACCACCTAAATCTTGAGTGGGCTGAGAATATCACATGGCTATTTTATTTTTCATGTATTGTTTCCCTTCTATAATGAGGCTTTTTGAGGACAGAGACTTTGTCTTTTTCACTACTATCTTCCCAATATCCAGAATAGCGCCTGGCATGTGGAATAGTGTAAATATTTGTGGGGTGAGTGAATAAAGAAAATGGTGAAAAAAATTTTCTAACGGATTTTGCTTAGGGCTTCTGTGGCTTCTGTATATATAGCACAGCAGCTAGATCTTTATTCTGAAGCACCTTGGTGACTCAGTCGATTGAGTGTCTGCCTTCAGCTCAAGTCATGATTTCAGGGTCCTGGTATCGAGCCCCACATCGAGGTTTCCTGCTCAGTGGGGAGTCTGCTTCTTCTACCGCCGCCCCCCCACCACTCGTGATCACTCTCTCTCTCAAATAAATCTTTTTTAAAAAAGGATCCTTATTCTAACTTTATCTAATGGCCACTGAAATTCTTGATCTTCTTTCCTCCTATGAAGTGGGTCTTAAAAAACCCCTTTCATGGAATCCCTGGGTGGCGCAGCGGTTTGGCGCCTGCCTTTGGCCCAGGGCGCGATCCTGGAGACCCGGGATCGAGTCCCATGTCGGGCTCCCGGTGCATGGAGCCTGCTTCTCCCTCTGCCTGTGTCTCTGCCTCTCTCTCTCTCATTCTATGTGACTATCATAAATAAATAAAAAAAAATTTTAAAAAAACCCTTTCATTTTTGCATATTCTAGCATATATGTATAATTTTGCTGTATTTCCTTAGGTCATAAGAAGCTGGCCTTGGTGCAATAAGGAACTTAGAACAATGGAGGAGCGGAAAGTGAAGAGGAGGAGTCCTAAGTCTTTTAGTGCCCACTCTACTCAGATTGCTAGTGCCAAAAAAAATGCCATTCCAGTTAGTAAAAGCACAGGGTTTTCAAATCCTGCATCACAGTCAACTTCACAACGACCAAAGTTAAAAAGGTGAATTATTTTATTTTATATTATCACAGCAAAATGCTATCAGAGTAAATACTGAATCCGATAATTCTTATAACCCTTTTTTTCTCTTGGCTTGACTTTTTAAACAGTTGAAGCATGCATTATCATGTGTGATTTTAGAGAAAAATAATGAAGGTTACAATGTGTAGGGATTAGAACATGCAGAATGAATGGTTTGAACGCCCTTGCTTTGTCTCCTATTAAAATAGAATGAGAAAATTTGTAGACAAAGTTGATGCACTAGCCAGAAAAGGAATAAAAAATATACAGGGTTTTTGTTGTTGTTGTTTTGTTTTTTTTTAATTTTTTTATTTTTTTTTTGTTTTTTTTTTAACTAATTTAGGAGCAACAGGTTTAAATGTGATATAGGATATTGCTGCATGTGAGTATTTTGTAGTATTAGATATTTGGAAAGCAAGATAATATATCTTATGTATATTATATATATGTATAATTTTCTCTTTTTAAAGATAATCATATGCAGTTAATGTTTTTATTGCATCATCTTTGCAGAGTGATGAAAGAAAAGACCAGACCTCAGGGTGGAGAAGGAAAAGGTGCACAGCCTGCTCCCATTCAGCACTCTTTTCTCACCGATGTCTCAGATGTTCAAGAAATGGAGAGAGGGCTTCTCAGCCTTTTGAATGATTTCCACTCTGGAAAACTTCAAGCATTCGGCAAGCCATAGATATTTCCCTTTGTTTTTCTTTTCAAGATGTTTGCATCCTATTTTTTGCATTTGTTTTGCCATTCCTTTTAAAAGTATCATTTTATTTTATTAAAAAAAAAAAGAGTCCAGAGGCATAACATGCAATCATCCTATATTTCATTTGTTATGGTCGTGGACTATAATTTGTCTTCTGAAATTTCAGGAAAAGGTTTTTTTTTTTTTGACAGAGAGAGAGATAATGTGCAGGGTGGGAGGGGCAAAGAGAGGCTCCTTGTCCAGCATGGAACCCTACACAGAGCTCAATCTCACAACCCTGAGATCAGGACCTGAGCCAAAATCAAGAGTCAGATGTTTAACCAACTGAGCCACCCAGGCTCCAGGAAAATATTATTTTTTTTTTTTTAAAAGAAAGGAGGGTTTAAAAAAAAAAAAAGGGAGGGTTAGGGATAGGAATGCCTGGGTGGCTCAGTGGTTGAGCATCTGCCTTTGGCTCAGGGCATGATCCCGGGGTCCTCGGATCAAGTACTGCTTCTCTCTCTGCCTATGTCTCTGCCCCTCTCTCTCTCTCTGTCTCTCATGAGGAAATAAATACAATCTTAAAAAAATTTTTTTTTAAAACAAAGAAGGGAAGGTTAGTTGAAATGTTAAAGTAGGATTGCTATTATGAAATAACTATCCTGAAAGTAACAAACAAAAGGAATATTCTTTGTCAGTTAAATATTTTAGACTTAATGTTTTAGTTTGGGAAAGTCCCAAGATCATTTTTCTTTATCCTTTTAAGCCTAAACTTATTTCTTGCCCACCATTCCTCATTTTTGAATTTAAAATCTTTTGTTTTAATTTTTATTTATTTATGATAGTCACAGAGAGAGAGAGAGAGAGAGAGAGAGAGAGAGAGGCAGAGACACAGGCAGAGGGAGAAGCAGGCTCCATGCACCGGCAGCCTGACATGGGATTCGATCCCGGGTCTCCAGGATCGCGCCCTGGGCCAAAGGCAGGCGCTAAACTGCTGCGCCACCCAGGGATCCCCTCATTTTTGAATTTAAAAGAATCTGATTTTCTTGTTCTTTCATGAAGAGCAGTTAACTGATTGTTTCATTAAAAATTCTGAGTAGATATTTTTGTATGAGTTCACAAAGCATATAGTTAGAGCTTTTGTATTCAGCTTGCAACTCACCTTATAAGCCTTTTTTTGATAGAATTATGTCCCTGTATTTTTTTTAAAGCGATTTAAAAATTATTGAATGCACACATACAGAATCTCACACAATGCAAAAGTGTTAACATATATGCTGGTTTTTTGAGGCCACCAGTACCAACAAAAAGATAAATAACCAATAGCAATCAAAGAGGTATCACCTCATACCACCAGACTGGCAAAATTAAAAGACTTGTAATACCTATTGCTGGTGGAATTCAGAGAAGAGAGTTCTTTTATAAATTGCTGATGATACTAGGATTATGTTTGAAAGTTTTCTTTTCAACAATCCTGCCTGGGAATCAGTGAGCCCATCATATCTACCAACTCATTTTCATCTGAAGGAATATTTTTTCTATTGCTAGTTGATTTCTCCTCCACCTGTTCCTTTTTATTCTTTTGGAGTTTCTGTTGTTCTCATGTTAGATCACATAGATCTCTTATGATTTTTGCTTCTTTATATTTTTACTTTATATCCTTCCCCACCTTTTCTTTCTCTCTCTCTCTATATATATATTATATAGAGATACGTTTATATGTCTACCAGTATATACATATGTGTATACACACACACACACACACACACACACACACACACACCTCTCTTTTAGGGTATTTCTTCCACTTGACCTTCCAGGTTACGGTTAATTATTGAAAAACATCATTAAAGTAAAGGAAATATGAGATATTTTCTGTGAGAAAAGGATTCTTTTTAAAGAGCTGTAACTAGCTTCAAAATTATCAGTAGTTAATTTAATATTGTCGGTGTGTGAAGATGATATAAAGCTAGCTGGAGGAAATCGTGTAATTTACATAAATTCTTGTTGATTTAAGATATATGTACTTCAACTTCTGAGCTATAGTATACCTCTGAGAAAACCAGAGTTTTTTAGAAAAAAAAATTTTACTTTCAAGAAGTTGTCAGGGCTAGGAGCACCTGGCTGGCTCAGTCAGTGAAACATGTGACTCTTGATCTTGGGGTTGTGGATTCAAGCCCCACATTGGGTGTAGAGGTTACTTAAAAAATAAAATTCTCTAGCAAAATAAAAGGTTGTTGAGGCTATACTTAACTATATAAAAATATGTAATATGGGGATCCCTGGGTGGCGCAGCGGTTTGGCGCCTGCCTTTGGCCCAGGGCCCGATCCTGGAGACCCGGGATCGAATCCCACATCAGGCTCCTGGTGCATGGAGCCTCCTTCTCCCTCTGCCTGTGTCTCTGCCTCTCTCTCTCTCTCTGACTATCATAAATAAATAAAAATTTAAAAAAAATTTTAAAAAAATATGTAATATGTACTGTATATATATTAGCTGCCCTGAGCAGATAATACCACCTCAGACAATTCTAGTTAATAAATAGTGTAAGACCTGTCCTTTAGCATTTAAGCTGTCTTGCACTAATGGGTATACAACTGAAAATATTACGTTGTATTTCTCATGCTTCATAAATATTTTCATTTATATTTCTTAAAGGAGGCATACATAATTGGTGGCAAAAATGAGTCATGGTTGAAGCTCTTATAGGATTCTCAAGTTCCGTCATTATTATAAAATGTGAGGTCATTCGGTTAAAATGGCAGTTGTCAAATTGAACATGATTAGATGACGCTATTGCTTCTAGAAATGATATTACTATTGAAAAAAGAATTTCCTTTACCTAAAGGATGATTTTTGGGTTTTGTTTTGTTTTGTTTTAATTTTTAAAATATTTTATTTTCAAGTGATGCCCACCCCCAACATGGGTCTTATAACCCAGAAAACAAGAGTTGCTGGCTGCACCAATTGAGCCAGCCAGGTGCCCTAATGATTTTGTTTTTTACAGAAAATCTTTCCTATCTTATTTTCTTAGTGTCCACAGTCATTTCTTAGATTATCATTGTTTTCCTGGCCAGAGATTTGATTTGTGATTATACACAGAAAATATGCAGTTATTAACAATGTAACTTACAAAAGAAAGAAAGCTAATTTCTTGTGAACACCTTGAGTTTAAAAGTTTTTCCTCCAGGCAGTTAGTTTGAACTATCCTAATCTTTATTAATGTTCTGGGATGTTCCCCCAGGAAATGAATGTTCCATCGAACAGATGGAGCATGTTCGGGGAATGCAGGAGAAATTAGCTCGCTTGAATTTGGAGCTCTATGGGGAGTTAGAGGAACTTCCTGAGGATAAAAGAAAAACAGCCAGTGACTCCAATCTAGACAGGCTTCTGTCTGATGTGAGTATAATTCTTTTTCTTTATTCTTTCTTTCATAAACATTTTTTATTGAAAGTTCATCGTTTTAATCATTTTAAAGTATACCGTTTAGTGGTTTTTGGTACATTCACAGTGTTTTGCAGGCATCACCTCTGTCTGATTCTAGAACATGTTCATCACTCCCAAAAGAAACCCTGTCCCTCTTAATCCTCCCTTCTCTTCATCCCCTTAGCAGCCATTAATCTACTCTCTGTATAGATTTGCCTATTCTGGATATTTCATATAAAGAGAATCACACAGTATGTGGCTTCTTATGACAAGGTTCTTTCACTTAGTGTAGTATTTTCAGGTCTCATACACATTGTATTCTACTCTTTTTTTAAAAAAAGAAATATATTTCAAAGAAATTGACATATATACATCTACACATACATTCTGAGAATGCTGGCAAATCTAAAAGTGAAAGATTTACTTCTGTACATATATGATAAGATCTTAACATATAAACGATCCTGACATGATTAATATATTTTCTATTATTCACTCAGGTGATGGTTACTTATTTCTAAATACAGAACCATATTTGGTGTTTACGGTAATTTAGTACACTGCCATGTGTATTAGCATGCTAAAGCTGCCACAACAAAGTGCCATAGACTCGGTACATCTGAAATTCATTCCTCACAGTTCTGGAAGCCCAAAGATGGAGGTCAAGGTGTCGTCGGCAGAGCTGGTTTCTTCTGAGGCCTCTTCCCTTGGCTTGTGGGTGGCCATCTTCATCTTTACATGGCATTCACCTTTTTATGAATGGGTTGCCTATGTCCAAATGTCCTCCTCTGGTAAAGACAACCAGTCATCTGGATTAGGGCCCACCCTAATGACCTCATTTTAACTTACTACATCTTTGTAACACCCTATCTCCAGATACACTCACATTCTGAGGTATTGGGGATTAGGCCTAAAATGTATGAGTTAGGGGAGGACATAGCCCTGTCTGTAACACTACGTATGATTCTTATACTGAAAGGTATTAATGAAATTTGCCTCTTTAAACCTTTTCTTGAGGGCAGCCCAGGTGGCTCAGCGGTTTGGCGCCGCCTTCAGCCCAGGGCGTGATCCTGGAGACCAGGGATTGAGTCCCACGTCGGGCTCCCTGCCTGGAGCCTGCTTCTCCCTCTGCCTGTGTCTCTGCCTCTCTCTCTCTCTCTCTGTCTGTCTCTCATGAATAAATAAATAAAATCTTTAAAAAAAAAAAAACAAAAAAAACCTTTTGATATAAAAATAAACTGAATTCAATATACTTTAATTTCAGAATAGTTTCTATATTCACTAATGACAAAAAGGTTTCATTTCTGTTGGTTTTCTTTATCCTTTGAATAAGTAAATGTAAGGGAAATGGTAGGCCCAGACTTTCAAAGTTTCAAGCCTACATGTTTTATTTCATATCTACTGTGTTCGGTCTTACAAGTATTTCCTTTTACTTGTTCCTCTTAATAAATACAAGTTTAATTTGCAGTACATTTAGGAAAGTGACTATGGTATAGAGAGAACACTGAATTTGAAACCAGAAAGCCTTTGTTTAGTCTGGGATTTGCATTTCAGTTATATCTGAATATTGTCAATTTAGTTAATATTTCTGTAACTTTGATTTTCTCCTCTGTAAAATAGGTGTGATTAGTTCTACCTCATCCTGAAAACTGAATGATATGTGAAATCTTTTCATAATCCACAGAAGTTTTTAAAGATTTTGATCATTAAAATGGCAACTTTTAAAAACTAATAATAGAGATGATTATAATTATTCATGTTTCTAAGAATCTTTATAAAACTCTAGTGTTTATTACCTGGTTTCTCTCCTCATATTTGTGTTTAATAAATGTTAACGATACTTTATAATTACTTTGTAAAAGTGAATTTCGCAACCCTGAGATTTTTGGAAAGTTTTTTCAGTATTTACTTTTTCATTTAAAGAAAGCTTAAATGAAAAAATAGTTTATTTTAAAATGTGTAAACAATTATCTACTTAAGATATTTTTCTTATAAAAGTTAAATTTCTTTCTGTTACAGTTAGAAGAACTGAATTCTTCCATGTATCCTTTTGCCTAATATCAACAGTGAAAAGTTTACAAATTATAACATCTGGTTATAACTTCTGGTTATAAATTATAACTTCTGAAGAGCCCTGCTGTTATTTACTGGGGCCATTTCTCTTCCCTTTTGGTTTCCAAATGACATTTTCAGTTGTTTTTTGTATGCTGCCATTTTGTTTCTGGTTTGTTCTGCTTTGCTTTGTATTGTTTTTGGAATTTTAAAACAAATTTTTAAAAAATTAAGAGATTTGAGGATTAGGCTAGTTGCCATGGAAATTATTTTGAATCTTGGATTCTTAAGTTAAATAGCAGTTGGTTATATAGACATAATATGCAAAACTTAATTTACTATCATTACATAGAATACTTTAGATATAAATAAAAGTGTATTATAGAAGTAGCTTAAAGGAAATCACCAAAACACATGTAAAATATTTAGGTTTTAACTTTTCAATTTGGAGCAATTATTGCAGGAATTTTTCAAAATGTATTTTTGGATATAGTCCTAGGCACAATGTGAGATATATAAGAACAATAAGAAATTATCCTGCCTATAAAATAATTTTAGAGTTTAGTCCTTTTGGACTAAATAATGAGATACTGAAAAGGATGCTGGTTGTAGAGTCCAGAGATGTGATTTTTGAAATTTGGTTTTGATAATTTTGATAATTAACCTTGGATAAATTGTTTAACATCTCAAAGCGTCCTCTGTACTATACGGTAATTGCTACATGTAATGATTTGTATATGAAATTTTTCAAAATGTAGAATATGTGTGTGTGTATATATATATGTATATATATATACAAATTATTATTACTCTTAATAACACTACTGTTATTGTTAAAATTTGCAGTAACAACAATGAAGAAATAGAGAAGTAAATACAAATCCAGTAATAACAATTAAATAGTTCATCTTATTTGAGTACTTATTACTTGCCAAATTTTTTATGATGGGCTTTACATGCATTTTCTCATCTGGTCCTATTCTTATAAGTAGGTGGTGGTATACTTACCATTTTACAGATGAAGAAAATAAGATTTTGAGAAGCCACATAAACTGTGGGCACATTAATGTGAAACATCATTGCCAAGAAGGACTTAAATTTGAGGATTAGATATGAGTTAACTATGAGTCTTCTCTTCGTAGTAGTTCTTTTTTCTTTCCTTATTTTCATTCTGAGCTTTATTTATATTCTATGCTTTTCTTTCTGTGCAGATGACACATCAGTTTAGGAACTGAGTTTCTGTTAAACATTAGGTTTATTTATCTTACCACTTGACTTGATTCAACCACAACAGTTGAACAAGGAAACATGATAGAATACAAGAGCATGGGCTTTGGATTGCTTGGTTTCAAATCTTGGTAAGCAGGTGTGTAACCTTGAACAAAGTTTGGCAACCCTAGTTTCCTCATTTGTAATAATTGTTCTCTATTCAGACTTCCCTCCTAATTTCCCTTTCTGTCATCAGTTGCTTCTATTATTTCAGTCTCCAAGATTATTTAAATTCCTCCTATGACTATATCAGACATTGCTACTTAACCATGGCACTACCTGCCATTGAGCCTGGATGTGGGCAGGAAATTATTTGCCATTTCTTAATTACAGTTATTTGTCAGGCATCATCAATTCTGCCTTTTATTCTTCCTTCATTCCCTACCCTCATCACTTTATTCCATAACCTTTCAAATTTCTTCTGTTCCAACCCTGGAGCTGCCATACTGTCCAATATGGTAGCCACTAGCCATGTAGCTACTGAGCATGTGAAATGTGGCTAATATAAATTGAAATGTGCTAGAACTATAATTTTGTACACTGATTTCAAAGATTTAGCATGAAAAAATGTAAAATATCTCAATATTTTTTACAATGATTATGCTGATAGTTTTTTGATATATTAGTGTAAATTAAATATATTTTTAAAATTATATCTGTAGCTTGCATTATATTTCTTTTGCACAGTACTGCTGTAGACTTTAGACAATACCAGTAAATTATTCTTCCTAAAAACATCACTGTCCTCTTGCCATTCCTATTTCAGACCAAGTTTTTTGTTTTTTTGGTTTTTTTTTTTTTTTTTACCATGTCAGATTTTCAAAGGCTCTCAATAGTATGATCACAGCCTACTTACTGTTATATTTTTCATTATCTTTCATTCCCACTAAGCTGATTCTCTGGATTTCTGAGAACACATCATGTTCATGCTTACCTTAATGCCTTTGTTCAGGTTGTACTTCCTACCTAGAGTTGCTCTGCTCCCCCTTTCCCTTACCAAATAACACCAAAGCTGACTATTTCCATATAGCATTTTATTTGTACCTCAAACTAGCATTCTGTCTTATTTCATTATCTGTTGATTTCTGTATGTGTTAAATTTCCACTTTCCAACTGGACGAGAATATCTTTGGCAATACTCCTGTCTATATACTTTAGTAACCTTTGCCATATGTGTATTACTAGCTTTTAGTTGTTCTCAGTGTATCTATAGCATTGTTTGAATTGGGGCTTGAAAAAGTAGGTAGCAGGTGGATCTATATAGAGAGATGAAAGAGGAAAATGAAAGACATTAATGATAAGGAAAGGGAATAATACCTGCAGGAATTCCATTCTGTTTCTAGTCTTCTTAAAGAATAATTCAGAGGATTATAGAAAAAGTTTTAGAGCTATGATGATTTGATTTTATTTTTTGACTTTTGCAAAGAAATTGTTTTCCCAAAGATGATAAAGTGGGGTTGTCCTCTTAAATTATTATTTTTTTAATCTGGTAAGTTTTCATATTTGCCTCTCATCAGTTCCTTACCATGAAAATGATTCTTGCCACATTGATATAATTCTGTGCTCTATTAGAACCTGTAACATAATCTTGATTTAGTGACTTTTTTTTTAAGTCTTCAAATTCTGGATATAATTACTTCACTATGTTTAAAAATTGTCTTATCACATCCAAGTTTCTCAGGAGCTATATGGGCACTTTCCCTTTAAACATATTTCTTTTAATACCTCTCATAGCTCCTGAGTATGATTTCCCATAATTTAAAAGAAGCCCTCATTATAGAATGAAAATAATCTTAACTGATGAATCCAGACAAAAACTACATTTGGCAGATGCACAAGATGTCCCAAATACTTCTTCTACCAGCTAAAATGACATGTGGTTGCTTTCTTGTGGTTTGAAGAAAAACAGCATTTTTTACTTTTCCAGCTGAATCCAGTAGCAGAATCATCTTCCACAACAAGGAATAAAGTCATTAAAGTGCCAGTGCAATGATTGTTTTCACTACTGCTTTTAGTAAATTTGACTTGCTGTTATTCGCCATAACCGGAGCCTCGGCCTTGTTGAAGGCTTAATCAGGAAATATGATACAGAGGCTGTGCTGCTATGCTTTCTATTGTTGCCTTATGGGGGTAATACTTGAAATGCAGTGCGCAAAATGTTATTAATAGGGCTGAAGGTTTATCCTTCCTGAGCTCACCAAACTTAGTCCCGTGTTGATTATAAGTTGATGATGCACAGGCTTTTTGTGGCAGCCCTGCTTCAGTTTACGTTAGACAATCAGTACACACACTGGTGTGTTTTCCAGTGGCCAGTGCCAACAAAATGTTAAATGAGTATTTGTGAGATTTGCTATTTTTAATAAAGTGATCATTTTAAATTAGTCTTTATTGTTTTATTTTGAAGAAACCTGTAGTCCTCAGTCTGGGAATACAAGAGTTCAGTCCTCAAAAGTAAGCTGTGTTTATAAAATTTTAGGTTACATCATTTTCTTCCAGATTTTGCACCTTTTGCACATTTCAGTATTGGTGTTAGTTATGAAAAGATCATGGACTTTAAAGTTGGACCTTGACTTGAATCCCCATTCTGCCTCCTTAGCTTTCTATTCATGCCCATTTACTTAGCTTCTTTGGGTTTTTTTGTTTTTCCTCTAGAAAATGAGATTAATAACCAACTTGTAGTAGTTATGAGGAGAAAGTAAAAAAGCATGTATAAGATGCGTATCACAACAGCTAACACCAGTAATGTACAGCAAACGTTAATAATTACCCATTTTACAACAGCTTTTTTGAAATAAACACCATAAAATATACCTTTTTATTTTTTTTAAGATTTTTTATTTATTTATTCACGAGAGACAGACAGAGAGAGAGAGAGAGAGAGAGAGGCAGAAACACAGGCAGAAGGAGAAGCAGGCTCCACGCAGGGAGCCCGATGTGGGACTCGATCCCGAAACTCCAGGATCATGCCCTGGGCTGAAGGCAGAGCTAAACCGCTGAGCCACCCAGGGATCCCCCTAAAATATACCCTTTAAAGTGTACAGCTCAGTGGTTTTTAGTGGAATCAGAGTTGTGCACCCATCACCATAACCTAATTGTAGAACATTTTCATCACTTCCATCTTTCCAAAAAAAAAAAAACCCATTGGCAATCATTCCCCATTTCCCAAACCTCCCAGCCATTGGCAACCAGTAATCTATTTCCTGTCTATGGATTTGCCCATTCTCAACATTTTGTATAAATGGAATCCTACATGATTTTTTATGACTCACTTATTTTACTTACAATATTTTCAAGGTTTCAGGGTTCATCTATGTTGTAGCATGGGTCAGTACTTATCTCATTGTGTGGTATGCCACATTTTGTTTATTCAGTCATAGCTCAGTTGCCTTCACATTTTGGAAGAGGCCCATGCTGCTTCCTCATTTCCAGGACAGAGAAATCACCTAATTTGGGGTGGGAGAGTGAAACCCATTGAATGATACAAATTTTAGTAATTTTAGTAACTTTTGGCATTCTGAGTTCAAAGAATTTTGATCAATTTATCTAATCAGTCTTTTTCATAACCCCTTTTAAAATTGAGAAAGTTAGCAGAACATTAAATACAATCTTGTAAACTTTTCAATTGGGTGGAGAGAACAGGGTTCCAGGGTGGGGAAATAGCATTCTAGGGTCTGACAGAGCAAAAGGAAATTTTGCCATGTAACATGTTTTTCTTGGATGGGTCCTGAGACAGTAAAGCAAAAGCTGTTTCCTGTGGATTAGTGACAGAGTATCAGATTGACCTTGTTTGTTCACTCGGTTCATTTGTCCTTTGTGTCAAGGGGATCCATGTGGGCCTCAGGTAATAAAATTTTAGCTCATCTAATTTGTACCCTTTCACACAATGTAAACATATTACAGGCAGCAGAAAAAAAAATGAGGTGCCTGGATTAGTCTAAAGCTGTATTAGAATAAAATTTATTGATTATAAATATATAATAAGGATATATATATATATTATATATATATAAAAATATAAGGAATATATGCTGTATATTCCTTGTAGACAATTTTTAATTACCGACGATTTTTTAAAAACACACTACCAGAACAAACCATTTATCCTATTTTGTGTCACCTTCAGATCCCTTAAAGTCGTTTACTCTGGTGTTGGTACCTTCTGTATAACGCTAAAATTGATAATTATTAAAACAGCCTGAGGAGGGATCCCTGGGTGGCGCAGCGGTTTAGCGCCTGCCTTTGGCCCGGGGCGCGATCCTGGAGACCCGGGATCGAGTCCCACGTCGGGCTCCCGGTGCATGGAGCCTGCTTCTGCCTCTGCCTGTGTCTCTGCCTCTCTCTCTCTCTCTCTCTGTGACTATCATAAATAAATAAAAATTAAAAAAAAAAAACAGCCTGAGGAGCGGCTGACGCTAAGGACCCCACCTTTCCCACCACGGGGGGCGCCGGCCTTCAGGCTGCTGGCTTCTGCACGCCGCCTCCGCGTTGGGCTGCCGCAGCCTGGCGTCTGGCCCTCTGCTCCGAGCCTTCCGCGGTCCCACCGCAGGCTCCGCGGGGGCGGCGAGGGAGGGGGCGCCGCAGCCTGCCCGGGAGCCCCGCCTCTGCGCCCTGCGGCGCGGGCCGCCGTCCCCGCCCCCCCCCCCCCGCAGGTGCCGGCGGGGCGCGGTGTGCGGGTCCCCAGGAGACGGCGCCCCGCTGCGGCCGCGCGCTCCTGCGGCTGCTCGGCGCTCGGCGGGCGGAAGAGGAGGCGGCCCCTCCGCGAGGTAAAGCCCCGGGGCGCGGCGGCCGCGCCGCTTTAGCTCCCCGCATCGCCGCGGAGGCACGGCCAGCGCCCCCCGACCCCCGTGACCTTGAGGGCCTCAGCAGCCCCGCCCTTCCCCGAAAACACTGCAGCGGCTCTGGGGAGAAACCAAAGCAATCCTTGCGTAGGCTTGAGTGGGCGGTGGCAAGGAACCCCTTCAGCTCCTCCAGAACATTCGGCTGCTGCCGTAGAAATGCGGTCTAGTCCCTGAGCACTTTGGGAAACACGGATTCGCGCCCGACCCCGCACCGGCTCGCGCCAGCTCCCGCCCTCCCCGCGGTTGTCGGGCTCCTGCCACCTCGGAGGCCGGGCCGCGGGGGGTGGGGGGTGGGGCGCGGCCCGGGGGTCCGAGCCTGCGGCCCGCGCGGCCTGCGTGGCGCTGTGTCGCTCTGGGGGTTAATACGCGAACGTGTGGCGAACGGGACCAATAACTGATGGCGTGGTATTTCCGTTTTCGTGCCTATCACCGACTCTTGCGGCAAGTATCGGAACAGAATAGCCAGACGTCATCTGTGTCTAAGTCTGGCACAACCCAGGCCACCGTTTTCGGGCCGATCTTGACATTGGCGCGCTTTGGGAATCTCAAAAATCATGCTCTGAGATTTATTTCAGGAGAAGAAAATAGGGGTTAGGGACTTGAAAGTTTCAGAGTAGCCATAACTGGTTATTTTTCCTGAATGAGTTTCAGTAGTACAGTTGCTTCTTGCTGCAGCTTTAATTTTATAGTTTTGATTTTATCAGTGAGCCAAACCAGCATTTGAATTATGTCCGCTTTGGGCTCACGAGCAGGCCTTTCTTATCACCTCCTGTGCCAGCAAGAGTGCAGATTTCCTCGAAACTATCCCTGGGGCACCTGGGTGGCTCAGTAGGTTAAGTCTGTCTTAGGCTGGGGTCATGACCTCAGGGTCCTGGGACGGAGCCCCGTCAGGCTCCCTGCTCAGTGGGTTTCTGCTTCTCCCTCTCCCTCCGTGCTCGTCTTTCAAGTAAATCAATAAAATCTTTTTTTTTTAAGCCATCATTTCATTATCCATTACTTATTTGTTCATTTAATAAAAATAATATACCAGTTTATGTTCAAAGTAAATCATGTTTTTTACATGCCATCAATACAGATTTTAACTTAACTGGAATAGTTTTTTATTTCTCTTTTTCACTAATCACACACATTTTTCTTATACTCTGGTCCTTTTTTGCAATCTTTAGAACCAGATAACTTTTTTTTTTTTTTAAGATTTTATTTATCTGTTTATTTTAGAGAGAGAGTGGTATGTGCTTGAGTTGGGAGATGGGCAGGAAGAGGGAGTCTCAAGCAGGAGACTAAAGATTCCTCCTCCTGAAGAGGAATCTCAAGCAGACAGGAGCTGGTCGCAGGCATCAGCTAATTCAAGAGTCAGTCACTTAATGGACTGAGCCACTGAGGCGCCCCTAGATACCTCCTGAGAGGCATACTTGAAGGATTAAATTGGGGTTTCTTCCTCACTCCTAGTAGTTTATTTCTTTTTCATGCTACAAGAAGAAGACTTTCTATAGATTTTTTTAAAGATTTTTAAAAAAGATTTTATTTATTTATTCATGAGACACACACACACACACACACACACACATAGAGAGAGAGAGAGAGAGGCAGAGACACAGGCAGAGGGAGAAGCAGGCTCTATGCAGGGAGCCCGACGTGGGTCTCAATCCCAGGACTCCAGGATCACGCCCTGAGCCAAAGGCAGACACTCAACTGCTGAGCCACCCAGGGATCCCCTAGATTTTTTTTTTTTTTTTTAATGCATAGAATCTAAAAGTTTCTCAAGGAACTACTGTCAGGTACATATTTTAAAAGTTCAGATGACTTTGCATAGCCTCTGAAATGTTGAAAATCTAGAACATGCTTAAGGGATTAAATTTTAGATAATAGATGAGTCATGGTACAATTTGCATGGGTGGATCATAAAAAAACTCAAATGTAGGTACCTCTGTGGCAGGGAAAAAACAATGGTTTGTTTCTAATTTTCCTTCAAGTCATTTTGTCTACTAAAGTGGGGCAGGACTGGTTGAATTTACATGTCTCCAACTGTGTAAGAAATCACCTGGGGAAACTGTTAATGGCAACATGATTCTGCTTTATCCCAGTGACAGTTTAGCTCTCTGTGTGGAGTGGCAATTCCCCAGCCTTTCAGACCTTAATCTGGCTTTGAATGTCACACAACAGGCTCCTCCCCATCTCGTTCCCCTTTTTTTGCTAAGCAAAGAAGTGCTAGTGTCATTTGCTGATTTCCTCATCAATAGCCAGTTGTAAAGTATAGTCAGCCAGGAAAAAGAAGTTCTATTTCCAAATTAACCCAGAGAAGTAAAATATCCAATTTAAGTTATACTCACACTTTAGGAAAAATCCAGTATAATTTTTAAATGTGATGCCCAATTATTCCCTGTATGACCTCAGATAATTTTCTTTACCCTGCTTTTCTCCTCTGTAGTCTAACTGCCAGGGTAAATGTGAGAAGTGAAGGGGCTCGTGTATAGGGAAGAGATTTACTAGCACAGTGCCTGTCAGAGTAGCCTCTTAAACAAAAATTAAGTATAGCATTTATTACATGGCTCCCTTCCCACTTTGATTTTGTAACAGTATGTATGTTAGATCTAGTTCTTTTTTTAAAATACTTTATTTATTTATTCATGAGAGACAGAGAGAGAGGCAGAGACACAGGCTCCACGTAGGGAGCCCGACACGGGATCGATCCCGTGTCCCTAGGCTCATGCCCCGGGCCAAAGGCATGCGCCAAACCACTGAGCTACCCAGGTGTCCCTGTTAGATCTAGTTCTAAATGAGAAGAACCACAGATTGGAGTTTCCTATTTCATTTCCTTCTTGCAACCCACTTCAGAAACATTTAGAGCCCTTGTTTTTCAGGGTCATGTAAGAAAGAGATATGGCGGGGGGGGGGGGGGGCGGCGGCCTGGGTGACTCAGTTAAGTCTGACTAAGTCTGGGTGACTCAGACCTGCCTTGGGCTTAGGTCATGCTCTAGGGGTCCTGGGATGGAGTCCTGCATCAGGTTCCCTGCTCAGCGGGGAGCCTATCTCTCCCTCTCCCTCTGCTGCTCCTTCTGCTTGTGTGTGTTCTTTCTCTCTCAGATAAATGAATAAAATCTTATCTTAAAAAAAAAAAAAAGGTATCCAGTTGGCATCACCCACACTGGGGCCTCAACTCAGTGGACACTTGGGCCATAAACAAGGCAGCAGTTGGACCTTTAATTTTCCAGGCATGACACACTTCTTTGTGTAAGAACAATAGAAATCCTAAATGATCAAGGAAGAACATTATGATACAGTATTTCACTCTTGGAGGTAGGGCACAAAGAAAAGATGAAGAACGGATGGGAATTTGGTTTTGTACACAGGTTTTGAGCCCCTCTTGGTAATTGAAGACATTGGGGATGGCCATATTATAGACCTAATTCCCAAGAAGTATTCTTGACCCAGAGTTCGCAATCCAAATGAGCACCCTAAAATACTCCCCTTCCAATTTGCTGACGTTGTGAAAGAATCATCTATCAGATGTACATATTAATTCAATTCTAAGCATATTTTACCATCTACCTCATTTAACATCACGATGGAGATTACTAATAAGATCTACACATGTTAATAAATTGTCACAGTTGTGGGGCGCCTAGGTGACTCAGTAGTTGAGCATCTGCCTTTGGCTCTGGTCATAATCCCGGGGTCCTGGGATCAAGTCCTGTATCAGGCTCCCCGCAGGGAGCCTGCTTCTCCCTCTACCTATGTCTCTGCCTCTCTCTGTGTGTCTCTTGTGAATAAAGTAAAATCTTCAAAAAAAAAAATTGTCACAGTTGTGACACGGGCCAAATCCTAATAATCAGTGAAGGAATTTGGCTTTTTCTTAGCTCGTAACTTGCTTTTCAGCCCTTGAATTTGGAAAATTAGTACATGTGAACAATTTTTCATTTACTCATCCAACAAATACTTGCCAAGTGCTGGCTCAGTGCAAGCATTATGTAGTAGGGAGATTCTAAAATGGCTCCCCAAAACCCCAACTTCCTGATATCTATGCCCTTGTGAATTCCCTCCCCTTGAGTGTGGGCTAGACTTATTTCTAATGCAGGGGTTGCTAAACTTTTTCTGTAAGGGAACAGGTAGTAAATATTTTTGGCTTTGTGGGCCATATGGTCTCTCCCAATTACTCAATTTTTCCTGTTATTGTATAAAAGCAACCACAGACAATATGTAAATAAATGTATTTAGCTGTATCCCAATAAAACTAGAAAAGTGGTTGGCAGGCTGAATATGGGCTGCCAACCACATTTGCTGACCTCTGTTCTGACTAATCAAAAAGCGATTGTGTCTCGCTTCTGAGATTATATTACACAAAGACTCCAACTTCCATCTTGCCTGTCCTGTCTTGCCCTTTCGATTGTTCACAGGGTGGAAACCAGCTGCCATTTTGTAAGCTAATAGGTTATGAAGCTTACCTGGGAGGGAACCCTCCACCCAACAGCCTGCAAGGAACTCAGACCCTGTTCTAGTAGTCTGTGGGAACTGAATCTTGCCAACAACCACTTACATGAGCTCTGAAGTGGAATCTTTCCCCGGCCCAGCATTTGGATAACTATAACCAACTGAAACTTGGTTGTCAGAGACTGTGAGCCAAAGGACCCAGTTAAGCCACGCCTTGATTTCTGACATAGAAACTGTGAAATAATAAATGTTTGTTATTTTAAGCCACTAAGTTTTGGGACTCTTTGTTACACAGCATCAGTTTACCATCATGATAAGCATGTCACATAGCCAGTACTTCCATTATGATAGGCTCCTATAAGGATGAAGAAGGGAAATGCTGCCTATCATTTCTTGGAGATTGACAGCACCTATCAACATAAGGTTTCCAAAACATCTTATAAAAAAGAAACTTGTTTAATTGTGTTCAATCAGTCATTTCCCAAGCATATTTAACCATGGATCTTGTTTTTCTGAGAAATGCCTATTAATATCTTAAGGAGTCACTATTTGGAGAGATATAAAATGCTGGAATATGAAAAGAAATCATTCAATTTAAAGAAGTAGTTATTGCCAACATGTCATTTCTTCCTGGGTTGAATAACTGATCAGCAAAATTGACATCTTAGAAGAATGTAAATAATCCTATGGGAATTTATATCCCTATCTCTATCTCTGTATTTGTATCTCTATCTGTATATTTATATCTCTATGATGTACTGTACTCACATATTTAAGCTCACCAGCAGAGATAGTGACTATTCTTTCTGTAATGTTCTGCTCATTATGTAACTCAGTAATCCCCTAACACAGAGGATAATAACAATTTTAAGAACTTGCTAAATCAAAACTCCTTATGTTGGCTCTTGGAGGGATTTCATATAACAACAGCTGGGCATCTTAGGGAAACTAAGGATTTGTTTTGATTTAATGTTGATTCAGAAGGAGGTATTTAATTTCCCACACTGCCATGAGGTTTTTATCTGAACAACACATTATTATACTGTAGTTTGCCAAGGCTCAGCATTGCATTGCTTTGCTTTACACATGAGGAAACTGAGGCTCAGAGGTTAGATTACTTGTAAAGCTTCACTTGGGTAAAAGAAGAGTCAGAGCAAGGATCCAAATTCAGCATTGTCATGCTACTCTCTGTAATATTTCCAAAATTGTTCCGAGGTGGCTCAGCTGGCTCAGCTGGTTAAGCATCTGACTCTTGATTTTGGCTCAGGTCATGATCTCAGGGTTGTGGGATTGAGCCCCAAGTCAGGCTTTGCCCTTAGTAGGGAATCTGTGTGTGAGATCTTCTCTCCCTCTCCCTCTGTCCATCTTCCTGCTCTCTCTCTCTCTAAAATAAATAAAATCTTAAAATAAAATTGTTCCTAATCTGGTACATGCCTTTCCAATATATTCATTTTTAAAGCACACTTCCATCTTTCCCAAGTGTAGTAAGAGGAGAGAATCTGCAAATGTTTGCTTTATTCTCAAAATCTTCTGGCTCTCCTGGAAAGTTTCTTCAGCTACTCTGAGCCTCATTGTTCTCTTTCTTCTTGGAATTGATAGCAACAGAGGGTTGCTTAGAAACTTAGACATTTCTGATGCTGGAATCCCAGCTAGAATTTCACCAACAAGTGGTCATCCAATTTGTGTCTTCATATCTCCAGGAATGGACATAACCTCCTGAGACAGCTAAAGCTGCTGAAGTGACTGTTTTCCCACTTAGACTGATCCAAAATCCGTCTCTCTGACATCATACATTGTTCTTAATTTTGTCTTCTGGGGATTCACAAGCCATGTGTAATTGATTTTATATATGAAAAGCCTTCAGATAGTTGATGTGTGTGTGTGTGTACAGTGTGGGAAAGGGCTCCGATTTCTTCTTCTTTTTTTTTTTTAAACAGATGCTCTGTTTTCTATTAATGGAAAAAAATCCATCTCTTCTTTGATTTACCATCTAACAAGTACCCACGTATACAGGAGTCTATTTCAGACTTTCTCATCTGTTCCCCTGGCTTGAATATTTGTCTCCACACGGATGCCATGTCATGTTATTGCCCCAGCTTTATAGTGAGTTTTTATATCTACAAATACATCTCCCTCTCTGGTTCTTCCAGACTGACATGACTATTTTTGGACTGTTAAACTGCCATAAATATCTTAGAATCAGCTTTTCAAGTTACACACACATACCACAATATCTCCTAGGATTTTTTTTTTTTTATTGAGTTTGCCTTGAATTAGTGGATCTACTTGAGGAAATTAATCTTCTTCATTCTTCTGAATTCTCTAATTCATGAGTAAAACATATCTCTCCTTTTATTTAGGTTCTTTAAAAACATTATTCAATAAAACTTTTATAATTTTTTTAAAGATTTTATTTATTCATGAGAGACACAGGAAAAGAGGCAGAGACATAGGCAGAGGGAGAAGCAGGCTCCCTGCGGGGATCCCAAAGAGGGACTCAATCCCAGGAGCCCGGGATCAAACCCTGAACCGAAGGCAGATGCTCATCCACAGAACCACCCAGGCCTCCCCTATAATTTTCTTTTTCAATGTTTTTTTTTTTTTTTTTTTTTTTGTTAAAGTAGGCTCCACACCCAGCATGGCGCCCAACTGGGGCTTGAACTCACGACCTTGAGATCAAGACCTGAGCTGAGATCAAGAGTTGTACTTAACTGACTGAGCCACCCAAGCATCTCCAAATTTTATAATTTTCTTCATAAAGTTTGTACTTTTATTTTTTCTGGATACTTAATAGCATTGGTGTTTTATAAGTGATATGATTTTTTTTTTCTTTTGAGAAAGAGAGAGAGAGGGAGAACAAGTGAAGGGAGAGGAGCAGACGCAGAGAGAATCTTAAGGAAACTCCATGCCTAGCAGAGAACCCATACAGGGCTCAATCTCACAACCCTGAGATCATGACCTGAGCCAAGATCAAGAATCGGATGCTCAAATGACTGAGCCATCCAGGTGCCCCCCAAAAGAATGTCTTTTTAAAAACTTCTTGATTGAAATAGAAGATGTAGAAAAATATGGAAATCATAAGTGTAGAACCCAGTGAATTGTAAAGTGAACCCCCTTGGGTCCTTACTGCCAGATGAGGCCCAGTACCCCAGAGTCATGTCTCATGTCCCTTTCAGTCATAACCTCTCTTTCCTTCTCCAAAGGTAACTACCATCTTAACTTCCAACACTGTAGTGGAGAACTTTGTATAAATTAAGCCATATAAAATTCAGTCCGTTATTCCCAGCTTCCTTATTTAATGTCTTATGTGTGTGTTTCACACATATTGTTGTGTGTAGTGGCAGATTGTTCATTGATATGCAGCAGTCTAGCACATGGATATATGACAATATATTTATCCATTCGACTACTGGTGAATGATGGCACTGTTTCCAGTTTAGAGCTATCCAATGTACTGTGAATGTGGCTGTGGATATATTTGGTCCACATGTTCATGTTTTTCTGTTGAGTCAATTGCATGCACATGTTCAACTTTAGGAAATGATGCCAAGCCATTTTCCAAGGTACTTGGAAATACTTACACCAATTCGCACATTCACCAGCTGTACGTGACTGTTCTGGATACTCACCGTACATGGCTCTGTCAGTCTGTGCTGGATAACAAATTCTAGGTAGCTTGAAATAGAAATCATTATTTTTCGTGGTTCTATGGGCACCTGGCAGTTCTCCCTATTATAGTCTGGGGTCATTCATATGGCTGTATTCATTTGGGAGCTCAGTTGGAACAGAATACCCATGATGGCTTCATTCCCACATCTGGTGATTTGACTGGGGTGGCTAAAGCAGCTTTGGGCTGGCTCAACCTCTGTCTCTCCATCTGGTCTCTCATTATTCTGTAATCTAGCCCAAGCTTATTTACATGGCTGCTAGATCCTAAGAGAACAAAAAGACATCCTAAGGCCTTCGTCCATAAGTCACACGTCTTCACTTTATCTATATCCTTTGGTTAAAACAATGAGCAACTGAATCCTGCTAACAACCACATAGCAGAGCGTCAAATCTTTCAAATGAGCCTGGAGTCCTAGTCAACGCCTTGACTGCAGCCTGATGAGAAACCCTGAAGCAGAAGTACCTGTTATGGCCTTAATTGGCGCCCCCCCCCCCAAATTTCATGTTGAAGCTCTAACTTCCAATGTAACTATATTTGGAGACAGAGTCTATAAAGAGGTAATGAAAGTTAAATGAAATTATAAGGGTGGGACCTTAATCCAATAGGACTAATATTTTTATAAAGAGAGGAAGAGACACCAGAAGATCTCTCTGTCTACCTCCCACCCATCCCACCTGGTTTGCACATAGAAGAAAGGCCTTGTATGAACACAGAGAGAAGGTGGCCAGGCAGAGAGGTCTCTTCAGAAACCAGACCTTGATCTTGGACTCCCAGCTTTCAGAATTGTGAGACAATAAATTTTTGCTGTTCAAGGTACTCAGTTTGTGACATTATGTTGTGGCAGCCCTAGCAGACTGATTAGGCACTCCACTATCCTCCCCAGTTAATAGCATTTGGTGTTTTATAAGTGGTATCTTTTATTTTTCTTTTGAGAGAGAGAGAGAGAGAAGGAGAATGAGTGCGGGTGGGGAGAGGCAGAGAGAGAGAGAGAGAGAATCTTAAGCTGTGATTTGCTATATGATTTATATGATCTGCTATAACTATCCATATAAATATAGAGATGTAAATGAGTGGCTACAATTATATAATTCCTATAAGAACAACATTAATACACTGGATGTTTCTAGGTGATCTTCATTAAGCATCTACTGAAATGAACCTATATTTCTTAGGACTGGAAGAAAATAATTTGCTGAGATGTCAGCTGGGGATTCTTCTAGAAAAACCCTGGAAATGGAGTGCTTCCACACCAGATTCAGTGCCTGGACCCCTTTCAGCAATAAGTCATTAAATAGACAGGTTAGCTACATACTCTTGAACAAAACAAGTTTAATTTGTAAGGTCAATTTTGCTGTGATATATTGAGTTTCATGTTGCCATATTACAAACAACAACAACAACAATGTAATGTCTAAAAAATTTAGTTTTGGAGTCACTCCAAACAAGATAAAAGCCTCCAGCACACACAGTGTGCTGGGGGAGGAGAAAAGAGGAGGTGCTTTGGGTGGTGTTTGGTGTGGAGAGTATTAATGTGTAATTAATTCTTTGCATATTTCTTTAATCCTCTCTCTGTCTCATGCCAACAGTTCAGTTAGATGGCCTGGGGATTCCCACTCCTTTGAAAGGTAGCCAGTAAGTAGTCACCAAAAGGCTTAGATAGCTCTGCCAGCCATTAATGGAGTAGGCTGACTGCATGCGTGGGTCAGGCCTTTTCCCAAGGGAAGGAGACTGGCCGGGCTGGGCCAAAGCCTGATCTAGTAATAAAACCAGTGAGTTTGTATATGTCATGTGAGCAAAGCTGGTCTGAAACCCAGGTTTGGGGGTGACCCTGGTCCTTGGTGTATCTCTTCCTTACAGACACATCTAACAATGGCTACTTAGCAATATTTAATAACTTTTGTTTTGGTGGGACCTATGAAAATATAGGACTGTGGATTAGTAAAATCATACCTCCTCCAAATGGTCCTATTTTCACAATTCAAGTGTAGCCTGTATGTGTTTTCTAGATGAAATGTTTGGAATCTTTCCCCAGGCCACATTCGTTTAGGTAGAAACAAGAGCCAAGATTCATTACCTCTTTGTTTTCTAAAGAGGCCCTCCGGAAGGCCCCGCTGTAATTATATCCCCTGGTCAACCTTTCCCACCAACCCACCCAACAAGCCTGGGCTTGTCTCAATCCCCAGATAAAACCAGTTTAAGCTGAAGGGAGAGACCCCTACTACAGAGTAAAAGTGCTTTGTGAACTGTAATGTGCTGAGCAAATATTACCCATGAGGTTGTGAGATTGCCTAAGGATTGTTTAGCAACTAAAAATAGATCGAACCATACAGGAAAATGATATCTTCTTCCCCTTACAGCTCTTTCAGGAAAGAGTTGCTCTTATAAGTCATTGGTTTGACCTCTGGACTAACAAGCAACGTCAAGAATTCTTATTCACGATTTTTTTTACGATGCTCCAAATCACAATTAAGGTAAATGTAGCCTAAGGATGTGATTATCATTGGTTCTTAAAGGAAATAAATATAGTAAAAGGTTTATGTAACCTTTTAGGGTTTCTTCCTTGCCCCCCCCCCTCCCCAAAAGAACAAATAAAGCAATTGGTTTTTTAAGGTTTATAAACAGAAACTTCTAGAGCTGCTTCCTCCTTGAGGATGATTCGGAACCTTGAGGGCTTTAACATCTTCCTACCACAGTGGGATGTTTAGTGTTTGCAAACATCAGAAGCTTCAGCCAGTGAATTTTTAACATTCTCTTAGTATATTAATTACCCTTAGAACTATCAGACTGACAGACCATATATTTCAAGTAGATATCTGGTATGTAGGCAGTCCATAAGTAATTGTTACATGAATGATGGATCTGAAAAATATCCGAGGAGTGACCATGGTAGCAACATTTAGGAATATGCACAAGACTCATACAACAGTGCCACTGATTGCCAGTGGGTCCTTGTTCTTATTCCTACCTTGACCTCCTATGTCTGTTACTTGCTTTCAATTATTCCAGCCGAGATGGTGTAATATTTGAAAGTGCTAGTTGAAATTACATGCAGAAACAGCTAGTTTTTTGATCAAGAATGACTACTCTAAGGGTGGTAAGCTCGCATTGTATTGGAAAGGTCGCAGTGTCGAAGTTATTACAAAATACTTTGCTAATTAGCATAGCAAATATCAGACATTAGTTATTATCAGAGCAACCAGTGGCTTGTTCATCTATCAGATGAAAGGTAGAAATGGACTCTTTTTGGTGAAATTATAGGTATTCAGATGTGGGACTGAAAATATTCTAGAGAGCCCTCCAACATGCCTGGACCTGGTTGAAGAATCCAGCCAGCCCAAAGCAGATGGTTGTGAGGCTTTCCCCAAATAAATGGCCTTGTCAGTCTGGGGGTTTCTGATAGCCTGAGGCTGTCAAAAAGGGTAACAGTAAGATCTCATTTCTGGAATACTGTACTTTCTTAGTTGAGTAAACTTTTCGTCCAAAGAACAGAGAGCCGGGACTCCATCAAGCCCACAGAGGAGACTGTATAAAGTGGTTGGGGTTTGTTTACTAGGTTTGTTTAGGGAAACTCTAGGTATGACATCATTTGGCACTAGTTGTTTTCACTATAACCTGGTGGTGAGGTTGTTGGGAGAGGCTAACCTTTAAATTTCTTGTAGCTTCCAGAAAGCATCAGAGTTGTGCAAAACCAAATTGGTTTATTTTAGTTTGTGATACCTGTCTTCCACTCTATCACACTTCCTGCCACTGTCTCCTTCAGCAGCCATTTCATCCCCCCTGCCTGCCTGCCTCCTCACCTTCTCCCTTGCCTGCTTTCTTCTGCATCCATGGGTACACTGTGGATTGTTAAGAGACTGCCCCTGATGGAGTCACCAAGTCACTGGAGTGAGACAGACATCCTGGCTGTGTTGAAAGAGGCTGAAGAAAGAAAGCCTCTTTAGTCCAGGCTTAAAAATCAGAGAAGGGAACTTTTTATAGTAGTTATTGGCTAGGTTTCCTTTTACTCCAATTTTACAGCTTTCAAGATAAAATAACAGACCAAACCCCAAACCCATAACTGCTTGTGGTACATCATGTTCTAGTCTCCTGTATCATAAACCATGCAGTTTTAACTTTAACCACTGGAGGTCATTAGAGATCTTGTGGTATATTTTGAAGCTCATTAACATTCGGCCTGACATTTTGTCACTGGAAATTGCACCCTTTGGTACCTGAATTACTATGACACAATGATATAGGACTAATCCATTCAGTGGGATTACTTTGCTTTGTTCTGTAGCAGCTGTATCTCTGCAGAGAGTCGTATACTGTAGTTGCATGACGCTATTACATATTCTGGACTGCGGCTTTTAGGAGAAGTTGTATGCCAATTTCTGGTCTCTAGACTTGGCATCCTGAACCCATCTCTAATTTGTAGTGGTAGGTTTTTGTTGTTGAACATCAGTTAGTTCATTCCTCCAAGTCATAATTGAGTCTTTCTTCTACTCCTTTCCATCTCTTTGAGTCAGCCATGGCTTCTCTCCTGCCAACATCTACAAAAACCATTTGCTGATAGTCTAATCCGATTTGAGTTGTGCTGGATTTTGATTAAATCTAAAAACCCAATTCATTTTATTTTTTAAATTTAGTGCAATCAAATTTCTTCTAAACATCTTTATTGAGATACAATTTGCATGTAATAAAATTCATCATTTAAAAGGTATGAAGTTCGTGGTTTTAGTATATTCACAGAACTGTGCAACCATTGCCACAATCTAAGTTTAGAATATTTTCATTACCCAAAAAGAAACCTGCTACCCATTAGACATAACTCTGCATCTCCATCCCCAGCACTGGGCAACCACTAATCTACTTTCTGTTTCTATAAATTTGCCTTTGCTGGACCTTTCAAATAAATACAATCTTACAATATGTGGTCCTTTGTGACTGGCTACTTTCATGTATTATAATCTCGTCAACAAAAGGCAACCAAGTAAATGTGAAGATCCAATTGGCTTTATTAAATTTTTCCTGAATCCAGCAGCACCCTGTCCAGTAAATAGAGTGGCACTCTGAGGAGATATACAAAACAAAATGGTAGGAAAGTTTTTATGGATGGAGGGTGAGGGCAAGAATGTTGTTAGCAAAAGAGAAAGATTGTTTCAAACAAAGCTGTTTGCTGGGGGGAAAAGCAATGTGTCTTATCATGTGTCCTGTTTCTTTTGGGGATGGAGAGGGCCCAGGGGGCAGACAGACTTGTTGGTGCAGATAGAAAGAAAAATGTTCCTGACCAACCAGTTAAAGACCTATTTCTGAGGGGTTGAAACTGCAATTAGATTGGGTATTAAGCCCCAGTTTGGCAATTCAGTCTAAGTGACACCATTCGGAGCCTGTGGTTTTCTTTTTTAAAACAATGTTCGCAACCTTCACCCATCTGTAGCATGTATCAATACTTCTTTCCTTTTTATTGTTCAATAATATTCCATGCTATGGATATACCATATTTTATTTATGCATTCCTAAATTGATGGGCATTTGGGTTGTTTCCATATTTTGGCTTCTGTGACTAATGCTGCTATGAACATCTGTCTATAGGTTTTTCTGTACAGATGTCTTTATTTCTTTTAGGTCCATGCCCAGGAATGGAATTGCTGGGCCAAATAGTGACAGTGCAATCAACTTTTAATTATTAAACATTTCTTTTGAACCCTATTTATTCCTATAGTCCCTACTCCCCCATCACTGAATAAGCAGGTGAATACATGAGAGAATATAGCATTGTTTAAATGTCTAATATGTTTCTATGTAAGTGAGGCTGCATTTGTGCAGTCCCTGTTTTCAAGGCAGAGAAACCACTGTGTAGATGTTTTTGCTTTATAATTTCTGAATAATTTTATTTTAATTCAGGCAGTTATAATTACAAAGCTTATATGAGATATCGTGGTATTGGTTGAGACTGTGTTTTGTTTTAAAGTTTCTTCTTGGGGATCCCTGGGTGGCTCAGCAGTTTAGCATCTGCCTTCAGCCCAGGGTGTGATCCTGGAGACCCGGGATCGAGTCCCATGTCAGGCTCCTTGCATGGAGCCTGCTTCTCCCTCTGCCTGTGTCTCTGCCTCTCTCTCTCTCTCTCTCTCTCTCTTTTCTCTCTCTCTCTCTCTGTATATAGTATGTCTCTTATGAATGAATAAAAAAAAATCTTTAAAAAAAAACTTTCTTCTTAGTGTCAGTAAGATATATTCCAGTACCTAAGATTTGTCTTTTCTGTCCTTGTATTTCCTATTGTTAAGATTTGAAATTTCTAGGGGCACCTGGGTGGCTCAGTGGTTGAGCATCTGCCTTTGGCTTCAGGGTGTGATCCTGCGGTCCTGGATTGAGTCCCACATCAGGTTCCCTGTAGGGAGCCTACCTCTCCCTCTGTGTCTCTCAGGAATAAGTAAATAAAATCTTTTTTAAAAAATTAAAGATTTCTTTTTTTTAATTAAAGATTTCTTAAATGGAGTTTTATGATATTTAAGACATTTTCCAGAGGTTCAGCTTCTTAAACTGTGGCTCTGGCAAGCTCTTCCTCACCCAGCTTCAGTGGTCCCTCTCCTGGGAAGCTTTCCCTGCGCATCTTTCACCTCCAGTGATTTCTACAAACATCTATCATGGCATTTTCCCCCACTACATTGGGCTTATATGGCCACATGTCTAAATGCTTCCACTAGTGTCTTCCCTTGGCCACTTGACCAGGCTGACTTTTCCTGACTCCCTGAAGGAAACGGGGCTGTTTGTGTCTGTCACTCAGAGAAACCCATGAGAAGTCTGCGTCTGTCTCCTAGCCAACTGGTGGGACCGGTTTCAAATGGCCTCCACTCAGCAGCAGGCAACGCCCCACACAAAGGCCTCTCATTCCAGGGCTGGAGCTGTTCAAACCTGTAGCTTTCCCTGGTGGGTCCCTGGGGCAACATTCATGCAACTGCAATCCCGAAACACAGATGATTACTTTTTTTTTAAAGATTTTATTTATTTATTCATGAGAGACACACAGAGAGAGGTAGAAACATAGGCAGAGGGAGAAGCAGGCTCCATGCAGGGAGACCAATGAGGGACTCGATCCCAGGACCCTGGGATGATGAGGCATGAGCCTGGGGTGATGCTCAACCAGTGAGCCACCCAGGCGCCCCACACAGATGGATTTTCTGCTCCTGTGTACACGCTGTGTGTCAGATGAGAGGGAGATCACAAACAGTGAAGGATTAGTTCTCATCATCAGAGCCAACAGGAAATGAGGTGGGTCAGAAAAATGTACTGATCAATGTACAGGTGAGCAAGAACACCCCTCACTCCCACTTCACTGCATTTAGCTGCTCTTTTCATGCAGCCCCTGCGAGAGCTCAGGTGAGCTGGTCTATCTCATTTGTGAACAATGAGGAAATCTGCTATATACATTTTTCAGAGACAACATGCATTTGGGTTAATTTTGGATACAGAGCCACGTCACTCTGAGTTC